GCGTCCACCATAGACTTTGTATGTAAACCTGATGCTCCTGATGCTGAAATCGCGTTTGGTGTGAACGCACCATTAAGCCTAAACCCCTGATTTTCTACTTTAATTACTCTAAGTTCTGTTAGTTTAACATAGACATGTTTGGTATCTACAGAAACGTCAGAATCTTGGCTAGAAGCTGGTAAAAACCATTTCTATAAACACTCAAGACAGTTAAAACTACAAGCAGTTGAAGATAAAATGATGAAAGTGAAGTTTAAAAATTTGGCAAGTCAGAGATTTCAAAATATTTGTGTCAAATAGGAGGCATAATGTGTTCTTTTTGTTTTTGATAATGTTTAGTTACCACTACTTTTATAGGGTTCTGTGTTGTGTTCATGATTAAATGCAGCAAAATAAACTAATTCAAAGGTAAGGTGAGGCAAAACAAGCCATTGGCTTCTGCCTCGACCTATTTGGTCATGTAGGGTTAATGTTTTGTTTGTTTTTGTGTGGAGTGTTCTTTAATATGACCAAATAAATTCATTCGTTCGTTCTTTCGTTCTTTCGTTCGTTCAGATACAAAGTAAACTTCCGCAGCAGAAGTGTCACCAGCTTTATTTTGTTCAGTTTTGCGGAGGAAGGTCAGAATCAGTGGAAGTCAGGTGTGTGCGCCACACTGTGAGGAATTTAAAACCATAGCTCCCAACGAGGGACATGCTGGGTGAAACGAGACAAACTAGGTTCAGTTTAATGTAGAAACTGTTTTAGGAGTGTAAAAACTGTAGAGGGACTGAGAGTTTGTCCACAAATGTGGACAGCTCAGATGCGACAAAACCTCTAAATCATAAAACTGACTGTGTAAAAATAAATAAAATAATAAAATAATGATATACAAACAGCACTTTAAATGTAAAATCTAATTTATTTTGAACTTCTACACTTGAATGTTACTGTGAAGTTAATCAAAGTTACATTGGTAAAATAGTTTGAATTTTTTGTGTAAATTTACTGTTTGGTAGTGATGTTGTGTCAATAAAATCACACACTGATTCTGATTGAGCCGTATAGTTTGATGTGCGCATGTTTTTTTAAAGCCAATAGAAAACCTCGATAGAAAAGCATTGACTAAAAATGTTCTAATGCTTCTTCATTAATGTCCTTTCTGAGACCAGCTGAAGCTGCTGTATTAGTTTGATTAGTTTTTACTTTTTATACTGCAGGAAAAACTGATTCAGAAAAATACGCAGCACTGTCTTCTCACAGTAACGCTTCCAAAGCTGCATTTATTTCTTTTTTTTTTCCAAATCAAGTTTCTTATCTCCACACAGTTTTAGCTGTCAATAAGTCCTCACCACAGCCTCTGCCTCTGCTTGTTTCTTCTTGTGACCGGGAGCCTTCCTCTGCCTCCTCTTCTTCCTCAGCTGCAGGATGTTGAACAGGTCATCGACCGTCTCCAACTTCAGCCTCCCACTTCTATCCGTCTGAGGTTGGAGAGGAAAAGAAACGGCTTGATTTCATGGATTCAATTCGACAAAACCCAAACTCCTCCTGCTGTAAGTGCTCCTACTTTCACACATATCGTTCTGAGGACGTCTGTCTAACTTGAGCAGATTTTCATGTGAAATTATTAGAAAATAACCAGAAAAAAACAAGAAGCAAAAATCTACAAAACCCATCCAAGCTACATTCACAAAATCTGCCACATTTCACTTTTAAAGTTCAACACTTAATAAGTTCAGACAAAACAGATTTTGTGTTTTAATTATAGTAAATAAATGATTTCATCAGTGAAAGCAGAGCTCCCCTGGGCTAATGTATAATATGAATTGTTGTTTAACTTTGTAATGAAGAACTTTGTTTAGATTTAGCAATCTTTCAGTTTAACCAAACATATCTTCAGAGAGCAGATGAAGAAGAATCAGTGTTATGGTGTGAAATACCACTAGGTGGCAGCACAACAGGTGAAACTGTTTCTGAAGCCTGGGAAAACACAAAGTTCACCCTTGTCCCAGTTTCAGCTCTTATTTAAGATGTTTAATGGAACATAAAGCTTACAGATACAACAAAACAAAAAAAAAACAAATAGAAAATTACAGACTATAGTGTGTACTTTCATAATACGAGTGTTAATAATGTTTTTACTGTCTGAAATGAGTCCTTTTTATTTGGAACTATTGTTTCCCACCATGTTGCACAGAAGTAAACAAGTGTTTTTAGCTCTGTGTGTGTGTGTGTGTGTGTGTGTGTGGGGGGGGGGGGGGGTCCTACAACATGGGGAAAAATTTCCCAAAAAAGCAGCCTTATGGGGGCCGGGCATTGGTCCCCACGGGGGACCAAAGTAAGTTGACCATATTTAAAAACTCTTCTGAAAAGCAACATTTTATATGTACCCCTTTAGCATATACGTATTATAATATATTTTTATCAACAACTTGAAATCATTCCTTTATTTAAAAAGTCCCTAAAATCCCAAAACGAGTTTATTCAACTCTAAATCAAATTAAGGTGTTTTTTGTAACCCTGCAATAATAAAGGTCCTGTCACACTATAATGTTTTAGACAACTTATGAGAAGTTTGTTCAACACTAAAGATGTCTAAGCTGAAGATGGAGCCTCTTTTGGACTTGTACATACTAAAGCTAACAATTTGAAAATGTAGCTGATAGGAGTAAAACAGTCACAATGTTTTCATAAGTTACAGAGGGTCAGGGTCTTTGGACTCACATTCAGAGCCACCAAGCTGATCTCCTCCGGCTCGCTGCCGCTGTCCCCCTCCTCTGTGGCGTCTCCTCCCACCTCCAGCTCCTGCTGTGACCTGAGGTCATCCTGCTTCTCCTGATTGACAGCTGCCTCGTACACTCCGCCCTGGAAGTCACCCGCCTCCCTTCCTTCTGACCTCTTACCGGTCACCTGGAGGAGGGGAGGAGTTATTTAGGCACAGGTGTTCTGTCAGAAACACTCAGAACCTGATTCAGAACAGAACTGATGTGACTCAGATGGACACACACAGAACCTGGCGCTGAACTTTTGCTGCTTTCCTTTTTTTAACTCCTCTCCCACCAAGGCTTGTTTCTGTGTGTCTGTTAGCAAAATCTTATAAACCACTTGATGTACTTAAAGCCAACATGTTTTAAGACAACCTTCAAAGTGAACTGGGTTTATAATAAAAAAAATGGTTTTAATTTAAACAGTTTTACAGATATTGTGCCGATATTTGGTGCAGTAGCAAAGAGTCATTTACAAACTGTGCTGCTTATTAAGCTAAGCTAAGCTAAAGCTGGAGCCAGTCTTGTTTGTTAATATCACACAAACCACTGAGTGGAGTTTCATAAGATTTTCAGTAAGATATCACTGAATACAGTTCTAGTCAAGAGGGCTGCCACAGCTAATCTGTATTAGCAACACAGATACTGAGCTAAATGTGGTAGCAGCTGAGAAAGATTCCCAACACAAGACTTCAGTCATGACATCTTGTGATGTCACATCTGATTAAGTGTAATGGTATTTTCAAGATTTAATCCAGAAGACTACAACTCTGTCCCTTCTCAGCGTAAAATGATTTTATCAGTTAACTGGTGTGAAAGGCAGCAGATGACATGCGTTAGGAATGTTTCCTTTCTTTTGTGCTGCTTCAGATTCAAACACAAGTCAAACTGTGATGCATTAATTTAGTCACAAAATGCATTAATGTGCTTTAAAATAAACCCCGCAAACTTTAGCTTTTCTACACTGCTTTTCTTAAACAGTTTAAGATGAACATGCAGCAATGCTTTAGACAGGACAGACTTAAAAACTTCTCCTCAAACTTTCACTCTGTGACAGTGTTGTATAAAGCAGAGATTCTTAACTCATGGGTCGCGGCCCAATTGTGGGCCGTGAGCGCCACCTTGAGGGTCTCAAAATAACAACAGTTTTTAACTTTGGGCTGCAGAAGGCCGTGGGACTGTATTGATTTTGAATAAGGTGCAATACACTTTCTCACCACTAGTAGCAGTAGTGCACCACTCAGTTGTTTAACAACTTTTTTAATATGTAGAAGAACCTTAGATACCCGCCGAAAATGGAAACTTATTTTAAATTAAAAGTAGAAGCAAAAATGAAGGTWAGTCATCAAAAAACACCAAAGTTTGTCACTAATATGAAGAGCAGCTTCTGTTTTTACCATGCAATATTTTAAAAGTTCAAAACATTATCAAATACAGTTGCAGATACAACTATATTTTAATTTGCACTTTATCAAATTAATTTCTGTAGTTTATTTTTAAAATATTTTTAATTTATTTTAAAGAAACTTTAAATTTGTCAAAAAGCTGTTCTTACTGTTATTGTTTGTCACTAATATGAAGAGCAGCTTCTGGTTCTACCATRCAAAAGTTTAAAAAGGCTATATTTTCATTTGTACTTTATCAAATTTAGTGTTAGTTTTTTTTGTATTTGAAACATTTAATCGTTTTTAATTTAATTATCTTATGCCCACAATTTTATTTATTGAATTTTCTATTTTTGTTATTTTTGTTAAAATATACAGTATATGTTGATAAGCCTGAGTGGTCTGTTGACTGACCTTTGTATTTGTTCAAATAATTGTTGTGGGCAGGTTACAATATAAAAAAATTATTTGTCATAATCATGGCTTGTGATTATTTTACAGGAGTTTTACTTTTAAAATGTAAGTGTATTTAATTTAGTTATAATGTAAATACAATAAAAATTAAACCAAGATTTAGAATAATTATCATTTTGATCCGTACATTGGTAATGTCTGACTGGGCCTCGTGTCACTTTATGTTCAATAAATTGGGCCCTGAGGTCAAAAAGGTTAAGAACCCCTGGTATAAAGTACCACAAAGTGATACTTGAGTCAAAGTACAACTATCTTACCAAAAAATTACTTTGGTAAAATTTAAAGTCTCCTTTAGGAATATTACTTGAGTAAAAGTATTAAAGTATCTGATATTTTTTGTACTTGAATATTAAAAGTAAAAGTATTGATTTAAAATGAGCAGTTAGATTTTCTGTAGACATTTATTAGGAGGTGACCTCCCCCAAAAATGCAGAAATGAATATCATATTAAAAATAAAAATAAAAAAACAATTTATATTAAATTTAGGATTTTTCAGTTCATAAACATATATCAAGGCTGCACAAACCTTTTATCCAAAATGAAAATCTGAGGGCTGCGAGCAAAATGCAATTATATAATTCATGAAATACTTCTTAAGTAGTCCTTTTATTTTAATAATTATGTCCTGCTGGAGTGTGACATGATTTATTTGTGTAAAAACTAATATGGTATCAGAACTTTATGTACTTATACTTCTCATTCAGCCACAATTAAATTCACAATTGATATGGATAATATTTATTTTTTATAATTAGAAGCTGGAATGAAAACAAGCAAAAATGAAAGAAAAGTAACGACTTTCTTCTTGCCTTTTAAAAAATGTAGAAAGTACAGATAATTGTGTGAAAATTTAAGAAGTAGAAGTAAAAAGTAGGCTGAAAAATAATTACTCAAGTAAAGTACAAATACCCCAATGATTCTACTTGAGTACAGTAATGAAGTATTTGTAACTTTACATCTCTGCTCTGTGAAAATCACAAGTTCTAGCAAACATGAGTGGAAGAAGTTTCTGATGGTCATTTGTACATTTTTATGTTTCCACAGTGTTTTATGTAGGAGATGTGTCAAATTAAAAAGACCCTTCACTTCCTGTTTTGAAAACAAAACCACACACTTAGTTAAAATGGAAGGCTGTGGTTTGGCTGTGGACTGCACTTTTTTTTGGGTATTTCAGAAAAAAAAAACTTAAATCCTGTAGCAGTGTCACACAATTCTAATGAGTCAAAGAACTTTGTGATTTGTGCGTAAAAATACTTTGTAAAACTTTGGAAACTCATAGCAACACATATTTTTGTGTGACCTTATCTCACTCTAAGATAAACAGTTTATAGTATATTCAGTTTGTTTTAATCTTGATTTTAATCCTTCATTCCTACAACATGCTGAGTATACAGTCTTTAATAGCTTATTTTTTAAATTTATTCATTTATATAGTACTTTCATTGAAACTCATTTCATATTATTTTTCAACAGCTCTGAGGTGCCACAGAAAATGATTCAAAATAAAATTTTATTAGGCTAAAGAGAAGTGGAAGCGTTAGGGCTGGAGTTTAAAGCATAATTCAGTTAAGGAAGAATTTAGTACAACATTGCTAAAGAAGAAAAAAATCATACTGAACTGATTAATAAAGAATAATGGAATGTGTAAATAAATATTTGCTTCATCCTGCTCCTTTTCAAACATTTTGTTTGACAACTTCTGTTTTCTTGTTGTATTGTAATAATGTTATCATTTTGTTTGTTTTATTTCTGTACATCTTTGAAATAAATGCTTTTTAAGGCATCTGTATTTAAATATAAACCCTCCTATTGGTGTGACAAAAATGTAAAAAAAAGTCAATGAAAATAAACAAGATTTTCTGGCTGGTTTTAGGTTCTTTGCAAAAAAAAAAAAAGTGAAAGTCTCAATCATCATTCGCTCATGTCAGCAGATCTTACCAGTTCTTCCACACTGAGCAGCCCCATTCCTGTCCTGGATGTGTCGTGGTTTAATGGCTCTGTGGGAATCTGGAGGCAGGTTTAAGTCCACTGGTGTCCTGCAGGGACAGGGAGCGTCTCTCTGTCCGTCTCTGCAGCTCTTGGCTTATATATGTGTGTAACCACTGAAGGGGAGAGAAAAAGGCTTCTGTCATTCAGCTCAGATCACATTACAGTCTTCATGTACTCATGTGGCACGCTCAAAGCTACCAGCATCTGAACACCCCCCCCAC